GGTGGCTATGGTTCCTATGACAGAGCACCTGGCAGAGAGCTGCTATATAGACAAAGATCTCCTGAGACCTGCAGAGTCCCACCTCAGAATTTAGCAGAATACTGTTTTGGGCACATGTGTGAGGAAACCTCCCAAGGCTGGGTATTCCTTAACTCTAAGGAATAAATAGGTCTAAACAATGATAGATATCTGCTAACATCACAAAAAGAGAGAAACACAGTAGACAAAGATCTCCTGAGACCTGCAGAGTCCCACCTCAGAATTTAGCAGAATACTGTTTTGGGCACATGTGTGAGGAAACCTCCCAAGGCTGGGTATTCCTTAACTCTAAGGAATAAATAGGTCTAAACAATGATAGATATCTGCTAACATCACAAAAAGAGAGAAACACAGTAGTCTTGCTCAGTCTCCTCTAAATGCATTTGGTCAAGTTCCCGGTCTTAATTACCAACTGATAGGAAAGATATGGGGCAGAGGAGCTTATTAAACAACTCCACAGGAAGGTATCAGCAAACACAAACTATGGAGAGCTCTACCACCCAAATAATCCAGTTTCCTCAACAAACAAGAAAAAAAAGATAGAGGGGAAACCTACGGAGTAAAAAAGAAGAGAAATAAACAATTGCAACGTGTGGATCTTATTTGTACTCTGTTTCAAATAGTAAAAAGTAATTATAAAAATTTATTGGACAATTGGAAAAATCTGAATATTGATTGTGCATATTTGATAATAATAAGAAAATATTGACTTTACATGTAGTTCATTTTTTAGATGTGATTCATTTTTTTCAGTTAAAAAACAAGTCCATAAAAACCCCCAACTTCTTTTTTTTTAAGATTTATTTATTTATTTATGATAGACACAGAGAGAGAGAGAGAGAGAGAGAGAGAGAGAGAGAGGCAGAGACACAGGAGGAGGGAGAAGCAGGCTCCATGCCGGGAGCCCGAAGTGGGATTCGATCCTGGGACACCAGGATCGCACCCTGGGCCAAAGGCAGGTGCTAAACCGCTGAGCCACCTAGGGATCCCCAAAAACCCCCAAGTTCTAATAAAGATATCTGCTGAAATATTGAAGAATGAAATGATGTCATGTCTGAAATTGGCTTCAAAATAATTTGGGGTGGGGGTAGGAAGTGTAAATAGGGATATGTTGGAACAAAATTGTCCATGAGATGATAGTTGTTGAGGACAGGTGTAGTTGTATGAAAGTTCATTATACCATTCTCTCTATTTTTTAATATGTTTCAAATTTTTATAATAAAAATTTAGATAAGTAAATTAGAGATTTTACAAGGACATTGGAGTCTGTGATTTGTAGCACTCCCTTAATGGAAGACCATATTTTCCTCACACAGAACACTGGCTTTTAAGCAAGGATAGACCTTTCTGAAAATAGACCTGGCAATATGCAAGTGGTTGACTACCTAATTGAAGACACCAAAGACATCAAAGGAAACCAAAAACCTGGGTCTACAGATGTGGTTGTTATGTCTTCCTCTTCTTTTAATAAGGCTAGGTTTATAAGAAGTCTAACAGAGTATATGACTGCTATCCTTCCAACAGCATCCCTGCAACACAACTCATCCAGTTCAATCTTGCTATTCCTACATTTCCTGTTTGCTCATTGTCACAATCCACCTTCCACACACATTTTCATTTTTTGGTTTTGAGGTCAGGAAGATGTCAAAAAAATTTTTTCCCATTCAAATAATTCATTAGAAATATGTTCTATCTAGGGGCACCTGGGTGGCTCAGTGGTTGAGTGGCTGCCTTTGGCTCAGGTCATGATTCTGGAGGCCTGGGATCAAGTCCTACATCGGGCTCCCCACACAGAGCCTGCTTCTGCGTCTGCCTATGTCTCTGCCTCTCTCTGTGTGTCTCTCATGAATAAATAAAATCTTTAAATATATATATATATATATATATATATATATATATATATATATATATTCTATCTAGAATCTAGTTGTTTTGCATTAAGAGAGACACTGTGAGTAGCTTGTCCAAGGTTCTAACAAAAGAAGTCTCCTCTCTCCTCTTATCTGAATCCTACTTATTCAAAAGGATGCATCCAAAGCCAATAAGTGGAGCTCCTAAAAAGATGAATGTTACGTCTTCCATTTAAAAAAAAATCCTCATGGTCCCTAGTTCAGTATCCTATAAATAACCTACATCCTGTATATCTTACTCAAGAAATGAGTTGATTTGCTGACTTAAAAATATATATAAATTTTAAATTCTCAGTATATATGCAGCTAATAATTCTGTCTATATATTAGTGTACTAGTAATATTAAAATATCATGATGCATCCTAATGTTCATTTTCACTAAATGCCTAAAAAGGCCATGGGAGTATGGCTTTAAAATATGATTTAAAATCTGATGTGAGCTTTGGAAGCAAACTAAGCTTTGGGGACTCAAGGCAAGTGACATTTTTGTAGGTTGGTTACATTTTGTACTGCAAGATGCATTACAGAAATTGTAACTGAACTTTTCGAAATATTTATCACCATTGTTACAACTTTCATTAGAGGGTTTTTCTTTTTTAGATGCAATCTTGCTTGTAATGTCCACTTTAAAAGTTGCTACCCCAGGCTTATAAAACAAAGTTATAATGTCTTCCCATCAACAGTATTAAAAACATTCATCTTTAAGAAAGTGTTATAAAGAAATTCCACTTCAATGATAATTCAAATATTAAAGTACATAATAAAAAATGACCATATAAGATAGAATGCCAAATGATTAGAAATTCTTTGCAAGACTGTACTTTAATTTCTGATAAAAGCAAAATACCCATTTAGTAGCCAACTAGTCACATGTGGCCATGTCAATTTAAATTATATTCAAAATCAGTTTCTCGACTGTACTAGCCACACTTCAAATGCTCAACAGCCACATGTGGCTGCCATACTGGACATTGCAGATATAGAACAATGTCCATCATATCAGAAAGTTTGATCAAGTAATGATGGTCTTCATTAGAAAGATCACTGCTAACGAATAGATGTCCATGTATAAATTTATTTCTAAAGGAGGCAGAATTAAACCTAGAAAATTTAAATAGTTTTTCTGGAAAATCTATATTCTCATGTAAATATTTAAAATTGTGCCACAAGAACTGCAATGTAGATTTTCTTTTTCTTCTTGCCACAAGAAGAATGGAATTTCAAAAGATTCCACTCAAGATAGAGAATTATGGCATTACCCAGTCTTCCCCTTTGATTCACATTTTTGTTCTTTATAAAGATCTATTCTAACCCTGCTCTGTTTCCAAGTTTATCCAGCAATGGCCCAACCTTTATTTTGTGGCAAGGAATTCCTATATAGAGGGCAGTACCTCAGGTCTCAAACTCCACATTTGTGAAGTTTGTCAACTAGCATAAGAAAATTCACTTCCTGGTCAGGTGAGGCTCTTACACCCTCCCAAAATACCAGCAAATTCCTTAATCTAACACAACTTCTCATCTCTCAGTTCAGAAAGATGCATTCTGTAATATATGTAAAAAGACAGAAACATGGAAAGACATAAATAATATCAGAGGGTCATGTGGGAAAGTGAAATTCTCCAGACATGAGCTATTGAATAGGAAGGGTCTGTTTAATTCAGCAGAGAAACTGAGATCATCTCTATCATTTACGATTAGCAAGGAACCATGCTCCAAATTGAAGACAGAAATACAAGAGTAACAAAAGTAAATGAAAATAGTATGAAAAACTTCTAAACAACAGGGCTAAACCAGATGCATTTAAATGCAACTCCTGAAAACCTTGATGAACAGTAGTACGTCTGTATTTAAAAGGCTAGATAAACCATACAGCTGATCCAGATGGTCAAAAAAAAAAAAAGCAATCTATGATTATATGAGAAATCTAAGTATTTTCATGAGTTTTAAGTATTTGCATGGAAAAGTAAACAATAATAATAACTAGTCAGTATCAAAAATAATTTCACTTTAAAAGTAGAGAGTGCAGGGATGCCTGGGGGTCTCAGCATTTGAGAGCATCTGCTTTCTGCTCAGGGTGTGATCCTAGAGTCCCAAGATCGAGGCCCACATCAGGCCCCCTGCATGGAGCCTTTTTCTCTCTCTGCTATGTCTCTGCCTCTGTGTGTGTGTGTGTTCCTCATGAATAAATAAATAAAAATCATAAATAAATAAATAAATAAATAAATAAATAAATAAATAAATAAATAAATTGCAAATTAGAAAAAAATAATAAAGTCCAAGTAAAGAAACACTTAATACTATATTCCAAGTGTTTGTGAAGTGGATCTTTGTCCAGAGTAGTGTGTTGTTTGGAAACAATTTCTACAATAGATTCAATAGATTCCATGGTTCTGAAAATTAATTAGAACCTTAAAATTAGCTATGGAAATTAGCTACAAACTAATGAGTTTGGGGGGGGGGGGGAGAAAGAACACAATATGCCAACTTTCCAACCCTTTCTCCAAACACTTTCCCATCTTAAAAATTACTCTTGTTTTCAAGATTCTTTGCATTGCTTAAATCCATAACTTCACCTTTTTGCTCACTTGCTCACTCCCCAAGGAAGTCTAAAACCAAATAAACTGCCATAAATTTTTACCAACAAAATATCATTTTCCGATCGATTTTTTCTTGATTTTTAAAATTGAAAAAGGTTTTATTCAATTAGGTCACTACTCCTGGCATAAGGCCTCTGAAACATTGTTTCTCAGACACTAATGGGTCCTGGAAAAGTTTGAAACTCTCAATTCATTATGACTTTGAGTAGCTGTTTTGTACCTAAGAATGAGCATTGATAGAGAGGTTGGGACTAAACACATAATTTTATGAAATATGATGAAAACATAAGGGTTTTGTTATGACGCACATAACAATCAAGAACCTGTTTCTTTTTAGCAAGCTCCTAAAAAGTACCTCCCGTATAATTATTAAATAAAAACACTCACTTATTCAGTACTCAGCCAGCTTTTAAACTCTGAATAAGAGAAGTACACAGTGAGAGAGGTACTTACATGGTTTCCTTGGATACTGGATGATGCCATTCAGGTCTATGTTTTTATCTGAAAGTGGTGCCCTGTGGAGAAATGAGGCTTGGTGAGTGGCTGTTTATACATAGTAAGTAAATAGGAACTTTGTTTATTTTACAAAGCATTTTTTATTTTGACCCAGATTTCTTTTTCTCATCACACCCAAACCTTGTAAACAGCAATAAAATGGTAGAACAGGTACTTTGCACAACTCTTTCTAATACCACTTAAGAAATCATAATTATTAAAGCAGAAGCTCAGAATGCTTTGGCTAAACACATTACTCCTTGGGCTACTTTATATATCTTAACTACTATATTTACATCAGACATATCAATGAACACTGCCTGCCTCTCTATTTTCCTTCAAAAGGAATTGTTCTCAAACTGTCAATAAAGAAATTAATCTAAAAAAATCGCATAAATGGTAAATGTCCTTACCTTAGTCAAAGAGTAAGAGAACTCTAGCTCTACCAGCTTCTACACATCCAGGGTTTCCACAGACATTAGCTGTCATTTTAAACGTAGTAGTGGGGTCCTAGATTTTCAATAGTTTAAGGGCTACGAGCACACAATTTTGACATTCAGTCTCTCGGAGCTACACACAGTCTAATTTTGGTAGCATGATTAATCCCTCCTATGTGATAATTTTTAACCTTCTAATATTTCTCTGGATCGAAAAGAACAAATGAGCTACAGCAGAGAATGGCAACTAACTTTAATGCTTAACACAATTTAATAATCTGAAATGAAGTAAGTGTGTGCTATGTTTCCATTAAAAAGTTTCCAGCCACAATTAATTGAACAAAAACTTGTCTTGTTCCAAGATTATTCTTGGAAATGTAATTTTAAAGTCTGCGTGAAATGAGGAAACTTACTTTTTTACCATATGAAAGCAATCTCATTTTTTAGGAATGATTTTTGGATAGACTTCCAATTTGATATTTTCCATTTGAACTAGCAGCATAGGGGTTTGGAAGGGGGAGGGGAGGGAAGCAGTTCTGTGTTCTTTTGCCAGCACTGACAAAGGTCTGGTTGTCAGTGATACCTTTACAGCTAAATTTACCCCAGAGTGACAGGAACAGGTGCATCTCGGCCTGCCAGACACTTGTGCACAGGGATCACGCATCTTACGGCTTGACGATCAAGGGGGGAAAGCCTGGGTCTTCATAGAAAAGGAGGAGAGACAAACGCAGCCCAAACTGGGGGGTTTCTCTTCAAAGCCAGCTGGTCTGGCTTTATTCTACAGGAATTTTTTTACCTGTCAGGGTTTGGACAACAAAGCCCTCAGCAGGTGCTGAAGGGTACAACTTCCTGGAGAAGCAGAAAGGCACTGGTGAGTTTCAATTGCCAAAATATATTTTTTAATCTTTAAAAGTTGATTTTGTTATCTTGGAAGAGGCACTGCTGAGGAACCTACATTCAGAAAGCTGATGAGACCATTGGAATCAGAGCCAACTAACTCAACAGTAGGTTTGCCTGTTGTAGAAAGTAGAGCTGTTACCATTTGACAATTTTTTACATTTAAGAAAAGTCTTATAGGAAAGACTCTTTATTTTGAATGTTGGTTTCTTTCACTACTAATTCCGATATCTGAAAGATGAAGAATTAATTACATATATGATATTAGACTATTAAAGTAAACACACAAATATCATTTCATCATTTTTTATCTAATTCTGTCATAATCTGTCCTGAGTAAAATGGTTTTTTAGTAAATTAAATAAAAATGTGAAATGGTACATGCTCTTTTAAAATGTTTCATGCGCTGGTGTTTTTTATGTGTGCATGTGACAGGAATATGATTACACAGAATATAAAATTAATTTTATTTATAATACATTTTTAAACACATGGATTGCACAGAGTATTTAATAATTAAAAGTAGCAACATTTTCTCATTACTTTACAAAGAGTTTCTTTGGAGAAAAATCTTTGGAATAAACAACCAAGACAGTACTAAAGCATGTTTTTACATCACTGATTTCCAAAATTAGTACATTTATATATTTGGTATTTTTATTTCATGAATTCAAAAGTTTAGGCAAAAATAATTTTTTCAGAATAGGATTTTAATTAATACAAAACATGGAAAAATAAGACCACATGTCAGGATATATTTTTAAAAAGTGATTCTATTTCAAGGGCTCATTCTTTTAACTATGCTTCACAGCATTTCTCTACAAATTGTTGTATTATACAAATTGAAAACATTTATTTAAGCAAGTAAGGAGCTCAAAGCTAAAGACTATACATAGTAAACATATGAAACCATTTTAACAACCAAATTCCATATTCACAAGCAACATGGGCTAATGAATGTAAAAGACACACAGCATACACTGATCAAAAAGGCTATAAATTATTAGCCATAAAATCAATTTTCTGGACTGTGGGGGGTACAATTGGTATTTAAGAAAAGAAAGGCTCCTGCCAATGTAAATTACTAATATTATGAGGTAATTGTTTTATTCTGATGATCTCATAAAAAATTTTCAAGCTACATGCTTAACACATAGTTGTATAGTAAGAAAATCATCAGATCTGACTTTTTTAATGACCACTACATCTAAAACAATTATCAAATCAATAACGATAAGCCACAAATTTGTAAGTAACATACTCTTTTAGACTGATTTAAAGGATGTTTAAAATTATTAACTATTTGTGGTTTGAAAAATTACCAGAAATGATCCAGCCAACCCAAAAATATATCTTTAAAACATAATTAAAACCCAAATCTGATTTTAATTATAAATCATTTCATGTAGAATATGGTTCAGAAAATTAAAGTATATTCTATTTTTTAAAAAAGGAATATATTGTGGTTTCAAACTGCTATATTTCTGTGATATTCCGTCATCTTCATTATATTGCTTCTGTCACCTAAGTAACCATGGTCACTGCATTTTTTAGGTAACTTCATTAGTCTCTTAAAGAATGAATATATACTGTATGCACTTATAATTTTGTTATTTATCTGGTCTGTTAAATACTATATTCCTAAATAATCAGAAATAAGAAATTAGAAATAAGTACTGCAAAACTGAACACACACTCTTACATCAACTTTAGAATTACACTTGTTAAGTCTTTATGTGTGTTACTATCGGTTAGAATTATTATACTGTTTGTCATTGACACTCAATATAAACCCTACAAAAGCTTCTTCCACCCTATTTTTTATGACTCCTGTGAATTATGTTAAGTGTGACTGAACCTATTAGAAACAATGTTAGGTATAGCCCAAATATTTCTGAATAACCAAAATTTGTCATTTTAACCATGCCCTGAATTGTGGGCTTAATCTAAAATTCCATATTTCTTCCTTGTAATTATGAAGAGAAGTTTAGTTCCTAGGACAACTGGCAGCTACATGTTCGTCCTTTCCAGTAAACCTTCACTTTTGTGTCACAAAAATACCTATGCCAACTCCCTCAATGTATGGAAATGATTTCTTTTAATAAGTCTTAGATACTACAACTAAATGTTGCAATGACTCATGTGCCCTAAAAGTTTAATTTAAAAATATATTTTTAAATTTTAAGCATTATTTGCAATATAGCTTCATATCTTAAGAATGGCTTATTTAGAGTGGAAAAAATTAATTATTCTCCTCTTTCAGAAAGACATTTGAAAATATTTTGATTACCCATATATGCACAGGGAAAATCTTGATTCTCCCAGCAACTAACTTCAATAAATTATATTGTGAATGTCAATCTATTTCATTTCAAGACCATGAAGCTTCCAGCTAAAATGGTTTACTTGTAAGTATTTAAAGAAACAAAAATACTTTGGCAGCTTTAAATGTATCTCCTCATTGACCAGCCACCTGACTGACAGCTGTCAACTGTCTGTGGGCCAAATGTAACCCAGTAAAGATAAAAATTACATATTACTCATCCCTGTTGATAATACCTGGTGCCAGTAAGGTTTTCAAGTAGGAATAACTAGACTATAGATATAAAGAAGTAAAAAGGGAATCATTTCTACCACCCACCATGCCTCCTTTGTCATTAACTTATTTCCCCTTCCTTTTCCACTTATTCCACTTCTCTTGATGTCCATATCTCACACCTACAAAGAGTTAATTTCCTTAAAGGAACTTCAGATGTATGTAACAAGTGTGTGACCATGAAAATACTAGGCAGCCAGGTAATCATGCCCACACATTTCTTTCAATCAAATCTTCTTTTGAGCTCATGTAGTGTTTGAATTGTGGGAAAGAGTCTTTGATGCTTTCAACTACTCATTTAAAAAAAAAAATGAAATGGAAGCACAAAAATAAAATTTACCCAAGGTCACCAACATGAGGATGTAGATGTAGACTTGGATCTGTCCTCCAACTTCACATCCAGTGATGTTTTTCTCTGTTAGACTTTAAACATGTGGACAATGAAACTATAAGTAAAAAAAGAGCACATGGAAAATTAATGAGAGTGACATTTCATTGAGGAACTGTTTGCAGCCACCAAACTTAATATCTTATTAGAGAAATACAATTTTATCAAAGGCATATTAAACTGTAGCTTTAGAAAAAGAACATGAACACGTTAAATACCTATGGCATAAATTCATTTTTAGATTCTCTTTACCATTAACCTGATTTCCAAACTGAAAATATTTATGTTGTGTATGAAACTGCAGCAAGAAAAAATAATCAATGGCAACATATATGTTTAGAAGATAAATGCATAAATGAAAAGTTCAGGTTGAAAAGTTTTTTTGAAATATTTGAAAATAATTAAAAACACCAAATATACCAAAGCATAAGCATACATACATTACCTAAGTACAGAATATAGTAAACAGTTCACATAACCGATTCAAAAACTAACTAGTGTCTGTGTGTGTATATGTATGTGTGTTAATTATAAAGCCTCTCTAGTCCCCAGAGGCCTCATCAGCAAGTGTTTTCTAACAGTTCAGAAATTCTATGACTCAACAGTCTGGTATTAATATAAGTATCTGATATTTATTCAAATAATTATTAATTATATTAATATTTTATATTGCTATAATATAATTTGCTGATAGTGCTGCACATCATAGTGATTCAATCAATGTCATGAAAATATATTCAATCTAAATATCTTATTCTTCTCTGACCCTCTAGAAAAGAAATCATTTAGGAGATAACTACCATGTTCTGAATTTAAAAGGATTTATCTTAACCCTGAGCTTTGGAGCTGTATTTGCCTGTGAGAAGTGTTTGCTTTAAAACATGAACAAGCAAATGAATTTTTTAAAAGCGGGGGAGGGCTTAAAACACTGATGTAGGCGATGGGAGGAAATTTCCTGCACAGGATTAGTCTAGAATAATCTCCAACAGCTCTATGATACCATTTGGCAACTAAATTATACAATATATCTAAATTCACAAATGTATTTGCTTATTGTATTACATTTGGTCCAAATCAACATTATTAATCAGCAAACCATTTAACAATATGCAATAACAGTATGCAAATCGATTTCAAGCAAAATAATCAGTAAATAATATCCATTTCTAATAATTATGAAGACAGAGGTGTCAAAGCAAAATGTGCAAAAAATTCAGTCATCTCCTTGCATCTCAAAGGATTATTAGTGAAAGTGAATGACTTGTCTCTTGTCTGCCTTTGAAGGATCTTAAATATTTTCTCGTTAGACCTGAAGAGTACTGCCTGAAGAGCACCAGAGCAGAAGTAGGCAGTTATGAGTCGTAATCATTATTTCACTGCTCAGTAATTTTGTGACTGGAAACAAGTCATGTAATCTCTGGGAGGATACTGAAGGGATGTGACTCTTCGCTGGGCTATGTGTAAATCATAGGAAAGGCAGGTCTAGAAGGTGTTTATCCAACAAAAGGTGTTTCTTTTGCTTCATGTGAAGTCCCAAAAGGATTCTGGACAATATTGGGTGGGTTCCTGTCTCCATTGGCATGCACTGTCCCCTCCCCACTGCTCTAAAAGCCCACCATTCTGGCACCATTCCAAATAATTAAAACTAACACCAGTTTTTAGCCTGTGAGATGAGTGGGGGAAACAAAATCACTTTATAATAAACTACTGACCAGCTAGCCTTATTTTTCCTACTTGGATACCCTGGTAACAAAACATGAAAGGTCTTACCCTCAAAATTACATTATCACACATGGCTTTGAACTTTTCGGAACACATTATAAGGCTAAGTTGACACACACAAAAAAACTTAAGTCATTTACTGTTTTTGGTTTTATAAAATGGGATAGTTTAAAAAATGAAAAAAAAAAAAAAAAAAACAGTCACCACACTTGCTGCCGTAAACCAGCCTGAGAACATGTTTGTTCGTGTCAGAAAAATGTTGGAACAAGAAACAGGTTCATCAGAGAACCCCTAATCTGAAGTGTTAAAAATATCTAGATCCAAGAGTGGTTAATGGCAGCAGCTGGCCACGCAGAGATGTTAAAAGGCTGGGAATTAGGGATCCCCGTGTTGCCTGGGATGGCAATGTCACGAAGGCCCTACCTGATTGCTCGGCAGGCAGAGGTAATTATCGAGGTCCTAAGGAATATTTGTAGTAATTGAAAGTCTTTTTAGGGTAAAGCCACATTTCCTAAGTGATTCTGAATGAGACTAGTCCTGGTTGCCAGGAATCTAGGCTCACAAACAGCTGGCAGTCACTGAAGCATGAACGCGTTCTCAGCTCAGTTGTCACTACCTGTAGAGGTCACTGGATCTGAAACCCATTTTACAGGTTTTGGTGAGATACCGGGATCCAAGAACACAGTTCACCCAAGAAAAGATAAGCAACTCCCTCTCAGACATCTAGAAATGAAGAACTATATAGAAATTTGAGAGAATTGGGTCCTCCCATTGCTTAATCAGTCTTCTAATCACAATGGGCAGAATATATGTGACATGTCTATTACAGTGCCAGCCAAGACAAGCGATGGGAAGATTCTTATCATTCTGACCTCTCACTGGTGTTCACTAATATAAAGTTTCATAAAACTTATGATGAGTTGAGAGTGAGGGAACGAATAATGAAGCGAACCTAAGGTTAAGAAATAAGAAGACTTCGCAGATTTTATGATCACCCTTAAGGCAGTGGCTTGCAAACAACATATACATAAGAAACACCCAAGGAGCTAGTTAGATGCAGATTCCTGAGGTTGCTGCTTAGGGGATCTGAGGTGGGGCTAAAGTCTGAGTGAATCTGAGGCCCTCTGGTAAACTGTTCTCTGTGCTAGATTGTTCAGTCCTCTCTAGAGCCTTCACTTCTTCTGGAGGTCAGTTCTCCTACTCTGCAGTAGCAAGAAAATGAGCACCCAGCGATCTCAAGTCCTAGGACACCAAAGGAAGCCTATGGTTATAGCTACAGAAGTTATATTTCTATTTTTATTTATTGTCAGATATACTTGCACTTAAATAGTTTAATTATTTTCATGTAGACTGGCAGATAAGGTTCACCCAACACTAGAAATAAGCCAAAAATCATTCTCAAGTCCTACTTGAGTTTCAGGCACTAAATAAAACAGCTTTAAATATGAACAATAGTTTGAATTGACTCTTCAGAAAAATAAAAAAAATAGTATAGAGAGGGCTTGTTATGAGGAATATATGTGCAAATATAGTCAAGTTTTAGAAACTCAAGTGATCATCACTGACCCAGGGAGTTTAGATGGCTATGGCACAGCAATAATGAAGAGGAAACCACAGGTTTTATTCTATGTGTGAGCTGTTTTGTGGCCACAGGCTACCCAAACTAGAATCTCACGGCTACAAAAGGGTGAAGGTGAGAATGTGTGGAACATGTGGATGGATGGACATAAATCCTTCGAAAATAAACAACACAGCCTTACTCGCTGTGAGTTAATCATCATTGTAATCAGAGTAATTATAGTGATTAATAACCAAAAAAAATCATAGAAACTCTTCTATGAACATATTATCTGTAGCACACTTTAATCGTTCAGAAATAAGCTCTCTTGTTATCAGTATTTTATTTTGGAGTGATTCATATAAATAGAAAATTATTAATATCCTATGGTTCTGAAATAGAAAATGTAACTTTACAAAGCATGAAAAAAATCTAATTGTTAATAACCAGTCGTGTGTTTGTGTGTTTTTGGTTTTACGGACTTTAAAACTGAAAATAAAAAATTTACAACTGAAAATGAGAAGATGGAGCAGAAAAGATGAAGGAAGAAAGAAAGGGAAGAAAGGAGGAAAAAGAAAAGGAAATGGAAGAGACAGGATTAAATCTATTGATTAGCTATTTCACTATTGCTAAAGGGGTCAAAAGGCATAAGAAAATTGTAGAATGTTGCCTACTTACCCATATTTAAGTAGTGTTCAAAATCTTTTACTTAGAATCATATTTCTCCATCTCTGAATTTCTTCAGACTATAAAGTAGTACATTGCATTTGATAGGGATGCTCCATATTTACAGGTTTAATGCCAAAGTTGGGAAATGTTGATGTGCCCATCTTTGCACACAGGATGATGCTTTATCCGTGATTTCACAGAGGTGATAAAGGGCAAAATGCATTTTTCCCTCCAGCCCTGAACCTCTCTCCAACCCTTCCGAATTCTAACCTTCATCCGGGAAGCAATACACATGCTCGTCACAGGGCTCTTATATCCCCCTCAAGACACTTCTGGAGAAATAATCACTAATTATACCTCTGATGGCTTTTGGGAGTAGAAGGGAGTGCACACAGAGGGAGACCAAGTGACAACATGGTAGCTATGGCACAGGGGACATGCAGCAACTGTGCGCCTTTTTTTTTTTTTTTTTTTTTTTATTTATGATAGAGAGAGAGAGAGGCAGAGACACAGGCAGAGGGAGAAGCAGGCTCCATGCACCGGGAGCCCGATGTGGGATTCGATCCCGGGTCTCCAGGATCGCGCCCTGGGCCAGAGGCAGGCGCCAAACCACTGCGCCACCCAGGGATCCCCAACTGTGTGCCTTCTATACAAGATGGGAATAGTAAGGAGACTGGAACAACAGATACTAAAGTGTTATATATATTTTTTTAAAGTAGACAAATTTTCAAGGAACATCGTGATACTTTGCTGATAGTTCGTCTTCCAATCACAATCTCTTCAAAAATCATAAAGTTTCTTCTTCAAGTAAGAGCCAGGCTGCTCACTTACTGGCACCCAGGGCTCATATACACATTGGCCAATGAGAGGGACCTGAGACACACTGAAAGTCTCCTCCCCAAAGCACCTCTTGACCAACAGAGCAGGAAACTTATAGAATTTGTATAATCATAGATACTCCTTTGATGTATGAACTCCTTTCAGAAAACTTTTGAAGAGAAGTTCATTTAAAGGAGTAACACATTGACACTGCGTCATGAAGTAAACTGTTGCAGTGACTGGCTCCTCTGATAGAACATAGTCCAAGAGAATTCTGGAACATAAAGAGG